TTATAATAGGGTTGATTTGGATGACACGTAATGGAATGTCAGATATACTGAAAGCTCATTGAACCTTATGACAAATTGTCCAGCACAAAAGTATTCTGTTATTGAGTTTATCACGCACTTATTAGATCGTATGCATAAGTGTAATACTCTCAAGAGAGAGACAACATACATGTATCCACATTGATATTCGATGCATGTGTTCAACGCACAGGCTTGTCTTTAACATGTTAAGGATATTACTCTTATGAATCACCACAATAAGCCAGTTTACAGATACAATCTGCGCATGGGCAGGTCATTTGTACCAAAATGGTAAAACCCACAGAGATGAATACTAGATATGCGCTCATGAAAGTTATGTAACATTATTCATTTATGCACCACAGGTACATTCTAAGATACGCAGGTGGAAGTATTCTTTTCAAGAGGGCAAACAAAAATTATTCATGAAGCACATCTAGGACTTTGGCAGTTATTATTCTAAGATGCTCAAAGTGGAACTTCTCCATGTGTAAAAGATCGGCGGATATTTGGGGTCATTTGTACCATGTGCTACCAATAAACTCCTTATTACGTATTTTTGGAAGTATATACTTCACATGTTATTCTTTAAATGTTTCGTCAGAAATTATCCCCTTGGTGAAATTCATATTTCAGTTTTTAACGAAATATTTTATCCTCTTACTAAGAAGTTGGAATTCTGAAATCTATATCACAATGTGGTTTTATGGGATTTTTTTCTTCAAAGACAGTTATTTGTAAACGCTTTTAATTATTGTTAATGAATGTACTTATTACGTATTTCTGGAAATATATACTTCACATGTTTTTCTTAAGATGTTTCGTCAAAAATAATCCCCTTTGTGAAATTCATATTTCAGTTTTTTAACGAAATATTTTATTCTCTTACTAAGAAGTTGGAATGCTGAATTCTATATCACAATGTGGTTTTACGGGATGTTTTTTTAAAAAGACTGTTATTTTGACACGCTTTTAATTATTGTTAATGAATGTATGACATTTTCTGAATTGATATTTGTTGTTTTTCAACTAGATGCCGTATCACATGAGATTATACCCATTATATTATTGATGCAATCTGGTGAAATAATAAAGTCGAGTTGACATCAATTAATATTCTGTCGTAATAAGATAATCAAACGTGTATAATAAAGATGATTAATACCATTTTATTAACTATTAAGTGGTAATCAGGAGAGACAATGATATCAGTGACATATCGATGATCATGAACTGAATTTGATATTTTTGTGTCCATTGCGCACTCACACACTCTCATTGGTTGTCATGTTACATTCGTATAATTAATATTCAACATTAATTTATATTTCTTGAATTTCATTGTATTAATTTCAGATCCAGACCGGGTTACTCATATACATTGAAGATCTGGTATTATTTCTGCAATGGTCATCAACACGACTATGATAACAGTTTCCAGATAATAAATTTGCTATTCAATCTATGCATGGAAGAGAAGACAGTGAATTGTGTATATCTGTGTACCATTGTAATTAATTCGATTATACACTCGACCAGTTGATTCGTTTAAAAACAATTTTTAAAATATTGAAATGAAATGACAGCGATCACATGAACATTTGAAAGCAACTGTTGCTCCAATACCAACAAATCAGCATATTGTACTATATGTCAAATTGGAAAAGTCGCACAAACTATCTCTAGTATATATCGACACGACCCTGATAAGGTTATCATTGATCCACCGTCTAATTGAATACCAGCGACAACAATACATCTTAAACATGGCTTTGTGGGCCCTCCTCCGTCAATGTAATAACATGGCTTCTATACTTCCCTGAGTTATAAAGCAACGTATTCATTTAAGTTTTCACTTAATATACGTTGCACCTGTTAACATTTTCACTTTGCGACGCCTGAAAACACCACTAAAAATAGGATGGCAATGTAACTTACCTATAGCCACAGTTGATGGTAGGCAACGGGAAGCTGAAGTTATGGTTCCGATATGAAAGTGTATAATAGTTCTACGCATGAACACTACACCTTCTCGCTCTTGTAAATACCTCTTTGGGAAGACGGTCTTGATAGTGTATTATTCAAGCGATTGATTTACTTAGGAAAATAACAATACACACACCCTTGCTATATTGGCTTGCCAGCTTTTGTCGTCGCCTCTTATTTACCGCCACACCCAACACACCATGTGTGTTAAACTGTACGGTGTGTGCGTGTAAGATTGTGTGTGCGCGTGATGGGATAGTGTATGGGTGTGTATTATACATGGAACTCCAGCCTCACGTAAACCGTGTAGCTGGGCTATCGCATACAAGAATAGAAAAGGCGTTTACAACTTTTATGCGCTGAATAGTCAGTTCTGTTTCGTTCTGGAATTGCGTGTGTAGTGAACCTTATCAAACGAACTCTGTCTTCATTTTCGAGGACACACCGTTCTTTTGTATGAATATTTACCATTCCAATGAGGTATTTGAATGGTTTGTTAGAATTCAACAAAAGTATAGGAAGGATAGTTTGCTCTGATATATAAGGCTGGTATTTTTATGACATCAGAATCGACTCTACCCTGAAAGTTTTATCTATAAACTGGGTCACAGAAAAAAATTCCGCCTACATGTAATACTTACCTGGTAAAGATACATAACCATGAAAAGATTGTGTGGTAAAAATAGAAAATTTAGACTAATTGCTAAATAAAACCGGACAAAGAAGAGGAAAAGAAGTGTCAAGGTTAACAAAAAAAACTTCAATGGTCACGAAGATTTTAATTGTCAAGCATTGCTATTAGATATGGTACAATGCTTTTTAAAATGACCCTGATAAACGCTAGTTCCTATTTCAACTGAATCTTACCAAATTTGTAATTGTATAAACAAATGATTAAGTTTTTGTCATCATGTACCAAAACGGTAAGATTAGAATTTCATTATCTAGACACGACTATAAACTATACAGAAAAAATACCCCCTTTCCCGATAACTTAACTCCATTTTGATTGTTTTGTTTGATTTGTTTTTGTTTTTTTACACATCGGTGTCGTAGGTTTCCATGAGATATTGTCAAAAGAATGTAGTGCTTCCGAACTTAGGAAGAAAAAAAAAATCTCATTTTGCGTAAAAAATTGCCACCTGTACAATAGAATATTATGTATATGTTCCGGGATGAAATACTGTTCATGGCTTATATCAGCATTTTATCCTCATGTTCTCGCCTAATCCGGTACCAGAAACTGAAAGCTACGCATATATATCATAGCGCAGTCATCTAATAGTTATTAACGAGGTCAATATTGTTGTACACATAGTGGCTCTTCGGATAAGAAAGAGAACTCCAATACCGAAAGCAAATTTGAATAACATAATACCAGTGTTATGAGAGACTGTTCACACATAGCATTTGTACGTCATGGTCATTTTCGACACTTTGTTATGCCTGCTGCCATCTACGAATCAAAGAAATACAATATAGGGGAACCACGATTTTCCACGTACTTCCTGAAGAATAGTATTCACCCGTTACGTATGTCAGTAGCCAGAATTCGAATTGCATCAATTACGTGTTGTTGAATAGGACAAGCAATAATGTTTGTCCTACCTACCAACAATTATTTTGCATTCTGACTATTTAAATTAATATTTCAAATCACCACTTGGTGATTTTTTCGGGCATCCTGACCAGCTAGATGTCATTAAGTCCCTATTAGAATGTCTCCTATTTTGTTTAAATATGGTGGGATGCTTTCAATAGACTTGAATGTGAAAGACCTTTGTATTTTCCGATCCAAGTTGTAAGGCCCCCTTAAATGACAAGTAAATGCCTGGCTATCATTGTTTGCATATTGAAAAGAAATGTACGGACTGGAAAATGCTTGGAAGGGGCTGTAGGGAGTGAATGAGAGAGAAAAGGCAATCTGAACACTTATATTTAAACAGGTTGGAAAAAATGGCTGAATATATCTCTTTAAAAAAACACGTTAATTTTACCTTTTGGGGGGAGTTGGGCCCCCTCCCCCCCCCCCCTGGCGCTCAAGGAGGGGGGGGGGTGAAAATTTTCAAATTTTCGAGGGCCCAAAAAGAAAATGAACGAATTTTCGGCCGGCGCCATTTTCACATTTTTGAGAGTAAAAAAAAAAAAAATTAGTGCTCATAACCCCCCCCCCCCTCCCCCCCCCCCCCCCCCCCCCACTGAGCGATTTTTCGGCCGGCGCGATTTTCAAATTTTCGGGAGCAAAAAGAAGAAAAAAATTGGGCCCCCACCCCTAAGAAATCCTCGATCCGCGCCTAGCCTGCGGCCGGCAGTTTTTGCCACAAAGCCATGTCCCATTTTATAACTACATTCAAGAGTCCCTCATTATCAGGTTTAAAACGTTTTTTTTTTACATTTTCAGTTTTACTTTTTTCGTTTTATTCACTCTCTACAGTTCCATCCTATCCAGTCTGTAAACAACTTTGCAACATGAACACAATGGTGGACAGGGTTTTACTTCTCATATAAAAGCGCCCGAAACGACGTTATACAAAGGATCTATTACATTCCAGTCTATATAAAGCGTCCCCCTGTTTTTAATCAAAAATAAAAGACTTTTTGAGGCCAAATAGAAAATAAGTCTGAAAGAAAATGTACCAAGCTGCCATTTAAAAAAACGAAAAAGCCTATTCTTTTCCTGTATGGATATAAAGCGCTTGTCCTCCCAGACAAGGAGAAAGGGCCTTTTTAGTTCCTTTAGGGACAATACATCAAAATAATGCGGTCATTGTTGCAATGCTATTGTTACCTCTTTGCATAATCCTCGCAATGACAAAAATATTCATTTGATGAAGGGAGGTTCGTTTTTTTAATTCTATTTATTAATTGATGCCATGTCAGAAAGAGCTAAGTAGGTTGTTACTTAAATATATTCGAATATTGCCGAAAGGGCTTGAAAATGTCTTTTTGTGGGAAAATACAAATTGTAGCCTACATACAAATCAAATCAAATCACAGTTTTTTGAAATTATACCTTGTAGAATCATCGTTAAAAATATACTTATTATTATAACATTTTATGAGAAAAGAAATTGTCGTCTGCCCCCACCCCTCCCCTATTTCATATTAGCCGTCTGCGCTCCCATCCACTACTTTCAAATCCTGGAACCTGGGCGTGACGGACGGGGGAAATAAAGTTGAAAAGACCTTCAGATTACACACGGAATATGATGTTATGAAAACAAAATATTTACAAAATAAAACATATTTAATTCTTGCCACCTCAAAAATAATTAAAGGTCAAATCAACAAAGTTCATGTTGTTCCCGGCTCTTCATTTTATATAGGCAAACACATGCATAGATGCAGATATATGCATATATCATTCCTAAAGTCTCATGCCTATAATGAGTCATGAACAGGCAACCCAGAGCGGCAGCGGTCCACAGTATATTAATTTGTACCCCCACGAGTTTTTAGGAAAATGCAAGGCATGTTTGACTCGATCCTAGGCTGTACTTGTCATACAAATTGCAAAGAATACATCTCATTGTAGTTTCGAATAAATTTTAGTTTCCCATGATATGATTTCAATGGTTATTAATATCGGTAGAAATTTGGCCGAGTGGATAAACAAAGTGTATCAATCATGAAAACTCTGGGGGAACAGAGGACCTAGGTAGAACCATGCATGCTACACGTTTACAAAATATTATATGATCATGATGAAAATGGTGAGGATAATATTAATCGGTTGAACACTCAGCCAAAGCGTCCAAACTCCCACCCTCTCATCTTTCATTCCTCATCTGCATCATCTTCATCCTTAATCTTTCATCCTTCATCACTTCCATCTCTCTCTCTCTCTTTCTCTTCTTCTAATAAATTCATCACTTGTTATTATTTTATATACACCAATATATGCCAACCACAACCTGTTTTGTTTCGTAGCGTTGGGGGGGGGGGGGGGTAGGATAATGTAGGCATATTTTTTAAATATTTATTTGAATCAAGAGCATTCATGACTTTTTTTTTTAATAAAACGGGGTCTATGGATACAGGGGTTATCCCCAAACTGTGGAAGACTTCCACAATTATACCTATCCCTAAGAAAAACAAAGCTCAGGAACCAAATGATTTCCGGCCGGTGGCGTTAACCTCAAACATCATGAAATGCTTTGAAAGGCTCTTTCTCGTCGAATTGTTAAAAGAATCACAGGGTCTAATAGATCCATATCAGTTTGCATATCGGTCAAATAGAAGTGTTGAAGATGCTACCCTTGTTTTTCTCCACAAGATATATGAGCATCTTGATCATGCTAAATCGTACACTCGTTCACTTTTTGCGGACTTCTCGAGTGCGTTCAACACGATCGCTCCTCACTGTCTGGTACGAATGTTAATTGATATGAATGTGAATCCGAGACTTATTCTATGCATCCAAAATTTCCTCAGTTCAAGAATCCAGTCAGTCAAAGCTGGGAATCATCGGTCAAATGAAATGATGACCCACATAGGTGCTCCACAAGGTTGCGTTTTATCTCCCGTTCTTTTCTCGTTGTACACAAGTAATTGCACGAGCACCAAACCCTCTTGCAGTTTAGTTAAATATGCTGATGATACTGTGATAACAGGCTACCTGTTCAATGACCCTCATGAATACATCTCCCAAGTTGAAGACTTTGTCCTTTGGTGTGACAACCATTACCTATCACTGAATACTAGTAAAACCAAAGAAATTGTCGTTGACTTCCGGAAAGGCAATACAATACATGAGCCACTCCGTATTCATGGAGACGTCATTGAGCAGGTACATGAGTACAAATACCTGGGAACAATCATTGATGATAAGCTTTCTTGGAAGCAAAACTGTCTGTCTGTTCAAAAGAAAACGAACACAAGGATGTTTTTCTTACGGAAACTAAAGAGCTTTCATATCGATAGAACCATCCTGAAGCTCTTCTACCAATCGATCATCCAAAGCGTAATGACATTCAATCTGATCTGCACTTTTGGTAACATGTCAAACGAGCAAAAGGGAAGAGTAGACCGAACTCGAAGAGTCGCACAGAGGGTTATAGGATCAGATCTGCCCCCTGTTCCAGCACTTTATGAAAAACGCTTACTTGCAAAAGTTAAAGTTATAATGACAGACAATACTCATCCTCTCAATGATTGTTTCAGGTTCAACCGTTCTGGAATAAGACTGTGCCCTCCCCGTACTCGCCTTTCACGCTCTCGTAATTCATTCATCGCTAATTCC